GTCGTTGTCGTCGTCGTCGTCTTCCCTCCTCCCTCGTCGTTGCCTTCGTCGGCGTCGCCGTCCTTCCTCCTTCTTCGTCGTTCGCGTCGTCGCCGTCCTCCCCCCTCCCTCGTGGTCGTCTTCGTTGGCGACGTCGTCGTCTTCGTCGTCGGCGTCGGCGTCGTCGTCGTCTTCGTCGTCGTTGTCGGCGTCGTCGTCGTCGCCGCCGCCGTCGTCGCCATCGTCGTCGTCGTCGGCGTCGTTGACGTCGTCGTCGTCGTCGGCGTCGTCGGTGTCGTCGTCGTCGGCGTCGTCATCGTCGTCGTCGTTGTCATCGTCGTCGTCGTCGGAGACGTCGTCGGCGTCGTCGCAGTCGTCGTCGGCGGCGTCGTCGTCGTCGTTGTCGCTGTCGTCGTCGGCGTCGCTGTCGTTGGCAAGTGCCACCTGGTACCCACCGTCACGGTCTTAAGAGATTTTGCGGACCAAGTCGCGGGTGGGTGGGTGGGATGTTCGCGCGAGCAGTGGAGTGGTCAAGCGCGGTGCAGGGTAGTCAATTACACCACATAGAGCCCCCTTTTCTCCAAAGAGAAAAGACTCTACCCCCCCCCCCCCTCGGGTCTATCCGCCCCTTTTCCCGCATTGCAATGCACTTGCGGTTCTGCCTCATCGCCCATCCTAAATATGAACGGATACCACCCCAGCCCAGCTGGCATCGGCCGCCCCCCACGCCATCCAAGTAATCAAAAATCCGTATTTTCAAATATCCCCCGCCGAAAATGGGACGAAGTGCCCGCGCGCGCGTCGTCGCGCGCGCATGCCGAAATCATTCAAAACCATTTGGCTTCGCAAGGATTGCAGGACCGAGTGCCAAACAACATGCGCACGCACAGCAAAAGACGGTTTCGCAACACGGACTGTCAAAAACAATAGTCGGAAAACCACGGGCCTGTCAACATGTTCATGACATGTCACCATGTAACCAAAAGGGCTTCGCGCGCGCATGTCGAATTCGTTCGAGCGCCTTTGCGCGCGCGCCGTCGCGAGAGTCCTTTGCAAAATGCGGAGCAAAGTGCACGCGCGCGCGTCGTCGCGCGCGCATCCCGAAATTTGTTAAAAACCTGCGGCTGCGTAGCAACGCCAAAACCGAGCGGCCCAAAAAATATATAACAAAACATCACATGGTTTGGCAATGTGAGGTTTCAAACAAGCGCGCTCGCGCCCTTGCGTATTCTTGAGAAAGCCATCGGCTTCTTCAAAATCCCCATCACGTTCTGCCAAACGGGCCTCGGGCGCCGCATGCCAGCGTCAGTCGCGCGCCCTTGCGCGCGTGCTGGGGGGGCGCGCGATCCGCATCAGAGAATGCCGCGCGGGCCGCTCGCGCGTCGGCCGCGCGCGCATGTCGAGCTACTTCCCAAGCCTTCATCGCCGACGCGAGGACGCCGTCATCGTCGCCGGCGCAATCAGCATCTGCGCCGTCTTGCCGCGCCGTCGACGTTGCCAACGTCGTCGCCGGCATCGCTACTATCATCATCGCGTCTACCGCCGTCGACGTTGCCATCATACCGCGCCCGCCCAAGTCGCAGACTCGCGCTGAAGTGCCCGCTGGGATTCGCCCAGCGGTCAGCGCTGCCGCGGCCGCGTCGGTCGCGCCAAACTAGCCGGTCGCTGCGCGCTCGGGTCGGCGCGGCCGCAGAGATGCACCAGCCAACGCCAGGCACTCATCGCAATCGCCGCTGCATGGGTTTTGCAAACCAAGTTGCGGGTGGGACGTTTGCAAGAGCATGGGGCGCGTCAGTTCGCTCGTTAAAGATAATTTGCAACGCATAAGCTGTATTACATTGGTTGCATCGCATACACTGTACCGCATCGATTGTTTCTAAGAATGAGAACCCAGCACCACCACCACCACCACCACCCCCGGCTTTATCGGTTCACCTTTTTGTATTTCAATATACATACGGTTCTGACCCATCGTCCATCCGAAATATGAGCTCGCACCATCGCAGTCGAGCCGGTATCGACCCCCCCGCCATCCTGCGCGAAAGTATTATGCACGCGCACTCGCTCATCAAAAATCATCAGTTTCCAAAAATCCATTGCAAAAAAATGTGACGAAGTGCACGCGCGCGTCGTCGCGCGCGCAGAAATCCTTCAAAAACCTTCGGTTGGCGGAAGGGTTGCAAAATCGAGTGCCCAATCAACATATTAAAGCACATGGCTTCGCAACAAGGAGCTTCAAACAAAAAAAAAGCGCGCGCGTTCTTGCGAATTCCTTTTTTTGTTAGATCTATATATGTATATATAACAAAAACATGTGTTTTCAGCGCGTTCCGAAAATATTGCCAAACTGGTTTCCCGCGCGCGCGCACGTCGAAATCGTTCGAACGCCTTTGTGCGCGTGCCGTCGCGAGAATCCTTTTGCAAAAACATGAGGCGACGTGCACGCGCGCGCGTCGTCGCGCGCGCATGCCGAAATCATTTAAAAATTTGCGGTGCCGTATCGGTTCCACAGCCGAATGCCAAAAAAACGTTCAAAAACACGCGGTTTCGTAACATCAGGTTTCAAAGACAGCGTGCGCGCGCGCTCTTGTTTCAACCTATCCATGGAGTTCTGCCAAGCGGGCCTTTAGCGCCGCACGCCGACATCATTCGCACGCCCTTGCGCGCGTGCTGGGGGGGCACGATCCGTCTCAAAGAATACCACGCAGGCCACTCTCGCGCGTCGGCCGCGCGCGCATGTCGAACTCTCTCCAAAATCTTCATCACCGGCGGGAGGACGCCGTCATCGTCGTCGGCGTGATCAGCATCGGCGCCCGCACTGGCCGCGCCTTCGTCGGCGCGAACATCGCCACCAGCATCGCCATTATCATCATCGCGCCCGCCCATGCCGCCGACTCGCACTGAAGTGCCCGTTAGGATGCGCCCAGCGGTCAGCGCCACCGCGGCCGCGTCGGCGGCGCCAAACTAGCTGGCCGCCGCGCGCGCTAGGGTTGGCGCGGCTGCAGAGATGCACCAGCCAACGCCAAGCATGCATCGCAATCGCCACCGCACGGGTTTTGCAAACCAAATTGTTGGTGGGTGGGCGGGATGTTTGCAAGAGCATGGGATGTGTCAGTTCATTTGCAAAAAAATAACATACACCGCGTCGGCTCAAGAACTTAGTGCTTGAGGTTCACGTTGGCTAACTTTGCCTTGATCTCTAGTATCACAAGATACATGAACTGGCCGATCAACTGTCTCGTTCTATGTCGTTGGTGGAGGCTCGCATCCAGGCGTTAACAGAGAACCCGCGACAGGCGGTGGCCAACAGTCGTGCGTCGACTTCACTTGGTCATTCTCCGTTATCCTGAAGCCCAGGGCCGCTTCCTGGCAATACTGCAGAGCGGGTGGGCAAGCACGGCCGAAGGTGCCCCAGGCTCGATTGTGTTTCCCAGCATCCAAGTGGCCGCATCATCGAGGAGGAGACGAGGTGCAGGCCCCTCCCGCAGAGCGGTTCGGATTACGTTCGGAGTTGGCGGGTTGGCTCTCGAAGTCCATTTCCTCGGTCTGCGGGCTCTGGCGGAAGACCACTCGAGGTTTGACCGCATCGACATTGATTCGGAGGAGGAGGAGGAGGAAAAGATAATGGCCATAATGTTCATGACAGAGCTCAGCGACGAGGAGGGCGGTGGTGTGTGATCCCCATTCTCGGCATTTTCATCACGGGCTTCGGGATCACCGAGCCGGCATTTTCGTTGTTCACCTCGACGTTTTCTCTCACAATTTGCATGTTGCGCTCGTCAAGCGTATTAGATGAAGCTCGCGCTTTCTCTCAATCTCCAATTGGTGGCGGGCCGATAGCATGTTGCGCGTGTTGCAGTAACATTTCTTTAGATACGTTCCGCTTCCTCCTCCTCCTCCTCCTCCTGCTCCTCCTCCTCCTCATCCTCCTCCTCCGCTTCCTCCTCCGCCTCCTCCGCCCCCATCAGCCTCCTCCGCCTCGTCCTCTTCTTCCTCTCCAGCCCCCCCTTCGCCTCCTCCTCCTGGAACTTTCGAGCGGCAGGGAAGGAGGAGGGCGGACAGAGAAGGAACCGCTACTCATTGGCGGCAGTGAGAGCGAAGGACGGGGGCCCACAGGGGGCCTTGCGACATGGAGGCGCCCTGAGAGCTGGCGGGGGAGGCAGTCCTCTCGGGGCCCTCTTGGGGGGAGCCCGGGGGCCTCTCCTGAGGGTTCGGAGGCCGTTTTGGAGCGACGTCGGCTGTACATTGGGTCGTCGTGGACGCTCCGACGACCGAAAAGCCAGAATGGAAAACGCTGTTCCTTCAGTCGCAAAAGCACAAACCTGACGGATTGGCTCATGGGCCAGCCCCCAGAACATCCGAACAGCTCCAAGACGGTTGTCTAGGACTAGTAGATGGGCAAGTTGAAGTTCGGATTCTGACCCATGCGTCAAGAGCTTCGGCAAGGTCACGGCCCGAGCGACGAGGATTGCCCAGAGATTTAGGATACGGAGCCCTTAGACATTGTTTCACGGTGCCCAGCGTCGAGGACTCAGCGGCTATGGGCCATGCAGAAGCTCCACTTGGTGCTTGCGCCACGGTGGCGGGTAGAGTGGCGCTTTACGCACCCGGGTAGAATGGAGGGGACGGTGAAGGGAAAGAATGGAGGGGGGGGTGAAGGGAAAGAAGAAGAGAGGAGACGAGAAGTGGTGTCAAGGGGACTTGAAGGCTTGGGAGAGAGTGCGGGAGGAGACGTGGGAGGGGAGAGAGTGGAGGGTAATGACGAGGCGTGGAAGGGAGAGGGGAGGATTGGGATGTGAGCGAACAATCGCAAGGTACGTAGAGGGGGGAGGAGAGGAGGGCGAAGGGAAAATACAGTTGGGATTGCGAAGATGATGGGAGAGAGAATCCGAATCCTCATTATCGTCCTTCTAGTCCTCCTCACCTGCATTCCGAATCTGTCTTCGTCTACTCATTCCCCTCTTCCTCCCTCACTCCGTCGTTCTCCTCCACGGTCTTTGCCCCCTGGAGCCGCTTGCCAGGTGCCACTGTGGGTCTTTTCCTCAGGCTGCACTTGTCCTTCCAGGCCCAGGCCTAGCTCATATTCCGTCTGCCCTGGTGGGTGAGGCATTGCCCTTGCGTCGTGGAGGAGCAGCGGCAGCAGAAGACGGCAGAGGCACTTGTGAAGGGCGAGGACGAGGAGGATGAGGAAAAGGACGACCGACGACGACAAGAATGATGAGGGCCATGAGGAAGAAGAGAAGGTGGAGGGAGCAAGGTCAACAGCAGCTGCGGCAGCTGAAAAGGACCATTGGCTGTCTCGCGATTCCTCGGGTTTCGACCCCCCTGTTATTCAGCAGATGTTGTTCTTGCACCTGTGTTAGTTTCTGCTGTTTTCCATCCCCGCCGTCTCTTGCCCTTCGTTGTCCTCCCCTTTCAATTCCCGTGTTCACGCTATGTTGTGTACCTTCGCATCCTCTCCCCGTGTAGCATATTGGCATAGAGCTTCCGCTTGCCCCTTTGCGACCCTCCGCTTCCCAGTAGGTGTCCATCAGCTTCCCTCCCCCCCCCATCCATCTCCTCTTTCTACCTTTTCCCCCTCTGCGCGCTCCCTCCTCTTCTGCTTGCCTCCTCGCTCCTCCATCCTTCCTGAATTCCTCCTCCGACCTCAGCCCTCCCCCGTCCGCCTCCAGCCTCCGTCATGGCGCGCTTCTGTTTCGCGCTCCGTGTGGGCAAGGAGGTCTTGAGATTACTGGTCGAAGGCAGCGTGGCACAATGCTCGTCGCAGACCAGTTTGAGCGCGAATTACCGATTACAGACGTGGGGAATTTGGCAGCTGACGACGAGGAGGAGGAGGAGGAGGAGGAGGAGGAGCGGATGAGGAGAAGAATCTGGATAGAGGAGGCGAACGAGGAAGAGGACTATGAGGACAATGAGGATGGAGGTACTGGAGGTGGTGAAGGAGGGAGAGGTGGAGGGGAAGCGGAGGAGGAGGAGCAGGAGAAGGAGGAGGAGAGAGGGAGCATAGTGATTCTCGCTGTGTCGGTGGGAGGAGAGGCCCTGCCGTCATAGAGGTCTGTATTGACGGCGATGCCCTTTGCTTGTACAGCCTATGTTGCGCGTGGCCACTGCCCGGTTGTAGGATTCCAGGCAGGAATCAGCGCTCGATTTCTCGAAAATTCGAGAGGGCCTAATCGAAGCTAATGTGCCCCTGAGTGTCGCTCCGGGCGGCGCGGAGCCCGCTGCGTGCCCAAAGCGCGCGCCCTCTGCTGCAACTGGAGAAGGGGAGAGAGCCGCACGGCATGGGTGTTGCGGACGCGCCCGGCTCGGACGATGGGCAGGCTACGGGCAACCAGACGTTCATAAACCGCGCGACGTATTCGCAATCGGCGATCGCTGTCCTTCCATAATCCGAGGTGGGCGTTCCAAATGAAGCCAGAGACTATCGAAGGGGCTGGCAAGGAGACCTGGGTGGGGAGGAGAGTGGAGGTGGCGAATGGGGTGCTGATCAGCTGTCCCAAGATCGTTCGGACTTCCGTTCCTGGGCAACGGTCCTTCGCCGAGCGAAGCCACGAATGCATCGCGGCAGTGACTGGGCATCGTGTGTCTGTAGCACTGATATCATTCACAGTTGCTGCGATTATGTTTGCTATTGTGTTTCTCTCTGCTGCTGCAAAGTGTATATCAATATTGCGATGCGCAGCGTCGCACGAATTATGCACAACGTTGCAGTTTGAAGCACGAACGCCACATGTGTTGGGACGTCCTGGAGATATGGTGTCGTAGTGCAAATTTGCCCAGAGCGGCCCATGCGATCTGCATACGGCAGCATGTGTAAACACTTGAATCGGTTGGTGGATCTGGTGACCTGAGTAATGTGCATTAGACGTGTCGCACTCGCTTGTCGCCTTGGGAGCACGTCTCTCGTGGGTCACGTTTACCAACCCCGTGTCGTCACGCAGAGGCTGCGTTGAACATCTCGTCGTGGGTGAACATGTGAAGAGGCAGGCTTCGAGGAGGCACCAGATGACTTGTACACTGGTGCGACCACTGACACTTTGAGAATTCGCTCGCTTGCGCGGCGGAACCCCGACGAGCTCCAGCTAGTACCGTCTGCGTGCCGCGCATCAGGTATATTCCTGCATGTGCATAGATACGCCGCCACTTCCACCGCTTGGGCACAGCTTTGTCTGTCTGTCTGGTCTACCCGTGACGGCCCTGGAAGACAAGATACGCATTTCGTTTGGCACCTACCACGCCACATTACATATCACTGTTGTTCATGGAACACAAAATCGTATCATTACTCCTATGCCAATGGTTCGTTCGACGAACACAATATCGATTCCGACAGTCCCAATATGGGTTCAGACCTGCGAACGCACAGAACACGCCTACGCTTGTACGGCGCATATCGACGCATCGCCGTTTGACAGCGTGAAAGGGTTTTGATCAGCGATGTCCGGCAAGGCAGAGAATTGCAATGTATTCAACCCAATTGCACGTGTAACACAATTTCCCGTTTCGGCGACTAGATAAGCCTACGTAGCGAAGCATTCGACAACCTAGAAAAGTGGACCCTTCTGAAACAAGAATCAACGTGCGCTATTTGCACATCGGCGTACATTGTCGCTTCGTCTGTTGCTCACCGTTCACACGGACATATTGGCGGCACTCTACTCATGACGCAGCACCATGCACAAAATTGCAGCACCTATTGGAAGCAATCTTTGTTAAGAATGGATCAGCGCGGACCCGCAAAAGCGAGTTTGTTCATTCGATGTGCAAGATATGTAGAACAAGCTATGCGGCGGAAGCACGGTGGCGCAATCCATATTATGAAAATTACGTGGTGGAAGCAATGTGATGCAGTATGCGTGATGCAAGATATGTGGTGCAAGCGATGTAGTGCAAGCAACGTGGTGCAAATTATGTCATGCAGTCTACGTGGTGGAGACAATTTGATACGATACACATGGTACAAGCAATGTGGCGAAAGCTCCGTTGTGCAAGGTATGTGGTGGAAGCTATGTGGGCCAGGCTATGTGGTGCAACCGATTTGGTGGAAGTTATGTGCTGGAAGCAATTTGGTGCATTCGATGTTGTGGTGGTGGAAGCAACCTGGTGCAATAGTATATATATATATATATATATCCCCGTGCACGAGGCCCGGGGGCCCGGGACCGCGACCTCGACAGGGCATGGGGGTGCCGGGCGTCGTTGTCCTTGTGTTTTTACGAGGGTTCGATATCCCCGTGCACGAGGCCCGGGGGCCAGGGACCGCGACCTCGACAGGGCATGGGGGTGCCGGGCGTCGTTGTCCCTGTGTTTTTACAGGGTTTCGGCGGCCCGGGGCCAACAGTGCCCCAAGAGGCTGCAGGGAGGCCCCAGGAGGCCGCAGCGATGGCTCCAGACGCCTTTCAAGACGACTCCCATGAAGGCTCCCGAAGGCCCCGAAGACGCCCCAAGAGGCACCCCGAGAGTGGCCCAATAAGCAAGTATCGTCGATATCCTATGGGAAAACTGATACTTTTGGCGTGTTTGCCTTTTGGGCGTCCACTGCATCCAAGACGGCCCAAGAGGCAACCACGCCGGTCGAGGATGCCCCCAAGAGGGCCCCAAGACGGTCCACGAGGGGGCCAAGACGGCCCACGAGGCGCCCAAACCACACACAAACGCCCCAAGACGGCGCCCAAGACGGGGACGAGGAACTGGAAATTCTGGCCTTTTGGCCCAAGAGACCCTAGGAGACCCCAAGACGCTCAGGGGCCCAGAAGCCCCAAGAGGCCCCCATGAGACCCGAGAAAACAGCAAAAGAGGCCCCGAAGACGCCCCAAGAGGCACCCCGAGAGTGGCCCATTAAGCAAAAATCGGAGATTTCCCGTGGGAAAACTACTATGTTTGGCGTGTTTGCCTTTTGGGTGTCCACTGCATCCAAGACGGCCCAAGAGGCACCCAAGCCGGTCGAGGATGTTCCCAAGAGGGCCCCAAGACGGCCCACGAGAGGGCCAAGACGGCCCACGAGGCGCCCAAGAACGCCCCAAGGCGGCGCCCAAGACGGGGACGAGGAACTGGAAATTCTGGCCTTTTGGCCCAAGAGACCCTAGGAGACCCCAAGACGCTCCAAGAAGGGGCCCAGAAGCCCCAAGAGGCCCCCATGAGACCCGAAAAAATAGCAAAAGAGGCTCCGAAGACACCCCAAGAAGCACTCTGAGAGGCTTCCGAAGACGCCCCAAGAGGCACCCCGAGAGTGGCCCAATAAGCAAGTATCGTCGATTTCCTATGGGAAAACTGAAATTTGTGGCGTGTTTGCTTTTTGGGCGTCCACTGCATCCAAGACGGCCCAAGAGGCATCCAAGGCGGTCGAGGATGCCCCCAAGAGGGCCCCAAGACGGCCCACGAGGGGACCAAGACGACCCACGAGACGCCTAAACCGCCCAAGAACGCCCCCCAGGAGCCCAAGAGGCATTTCCGGGGAGCCTCCACAGCGCCCCAGGAGGGCCCAAGACGCCTCCCAGGAGCACCCAGAATGCGAAAAGATGGTCCAAGACGTTCCCAAGCAGCCCAAGTCAGCCTTTGGTCGGCTCTCGAGGCTCCCAGGTGGCCTCCAAGAGACCCCAAGAGAGGTCCGACAGGCGTCCCGGGACGGCCCGAAGAGGCCCAAATCGTCGATCTCCATTTGTTTTTGCAATGTTTTTGGCTTCTCGCGCTTTCGAGCTCCCAATGGTCCGAGAGCGCCGAAGAGGCTCCCAAGACCGCCCCAAGACCACCCATGAGACCCTCAGGACGGCCCCAAGACGGGAAAAACCTTCGAGCGATCGGGCTGGCGGCCTCTATCCGCGGCGGTACCCCAAGACGCACAAGGGGGCCCAAGACATGCCGCAATGACTTCTTTACGGCTTATGGCGGCGCGAACTCGGGCGATCACACAGGTTTGGTGAGGTCTTCGGGGTCCATTGAGACTGTCGAAACCATGATAAATAAAAAACACGCCTTAACGCCGCTTTGCCTACTGAATCTGAACCCGAGAACAGATCCAGAGCATACTTACGCTGGCGGCCATGCCGCCTCACCGGGCAATCGCCGAGGCACCTTTTCCGATCAGTATGTCCTCGAGACGTTGTTCGCATTCTCTCAGCGTGTCTTGCAACTGAGGCTAGAGGAGCGACCAGCTCTGGCCCAACCGCGCCGCCTTCTTGTACCGCTGCATCGACTTGGCATGCTTCCACTGACCTCTCCTTAGGATCTCCTGTATTGTTCTGCACCGTCTTGCGTTGTCTATGCATGGGCCCGAGTGGCGAGCCTGGCATGGCACTATGTGCTCGCACCTGCAGATCTGACAAAGCTTTCTTGAATATGGCCAGAAATTGCGGGGAGACACGGGCTTCCATAAGTGAACACGGGTTTCCATAATTGAACACGGGTTTTCATGTTTGCCAACACGGGTTTCCGGACACCCCGGGTTTCGGTAACCAGAGCAGGGTTTCGGTAACCGGGTGAGGGTTTCGGCATCAGGGGAGAGGGTTTTGGCAACTTGGGGAAGGGTTTCGGCAACAGGGGAGAGGGTTTCGGCAACCTGGGCAAGGGTTTTGGCAACGGGGGGGAGGGTTCCGGTAACGGAAGGGAGGGTTTCAGTAACGGGGGGGAGGGTTTCGGCAACGGGGGGGGAGGGTTTCGGCAACGGGGGGGGAGGGTTTCGGTAACAGGGGGGAGGGTTTCGGTAACAGGTACACAGGTACATAACACA